GGGGAAAACATATTTTTTTGGTTTTGTTAAAAAAATATGGGTTTACAGTTTTGGTATGAAAATACGGTTTGATGGAAAATGCTATTTTTACATTTTCCGTTTTGGTACAACAACGTGATTTTACGATTTTGCGGGAAAATACGGCTTTGATAGGAAAAAAATGGTTTTGACAATATATGCCATTAAATTTCTAAAGATTCATTAAAGGTAATTTAGTCTTATCATTGAAATGTTAACAAATATATTAAATTGAATTAAATTATATTAGTTTGTTAACAGATAATACCAGTAAATCATATCAGATAGTACCAATAAAACATATTTGATACTAATAAAATTCAAATTAACTTACTTTTAAAATTATTTTAAAATCTTTCATAATATCTTAACATAACTACCACATATATATGGCATGAATAACTAAAATAATTATATATATTATAAGATAAATTAAATATATATTATATTATAATCAATTTCTTTTCTGTAGTATTAAAAAAAACAATACATTAAAATTTTTAAAAATTATTATGGTATTTACAAAAAAGTGACAATTTATAGTCAATAATGAATATATAATCATTATTTTTTGTTACATATATACAGACTATGAAAAACAAATTATGTAAATAATTTAGTTTTTCTGGTTTGTTAATGATTTTTTTGCTGGAAATGGGTTTGCGGATTTGACAAACACAATTTTGTAGATTTTACAGGTTTTATAAATTTTAGCAGAAAATATAGTTTTCCGAAAAAATGCCGGTTTGACAACAAATGTGCTTTTGTAGATTTAGCAGAAACAAATTTTTGAAATTTAGTCGTAAATCACGATTTTACAAATTTTACGGGTTTATGGGAAAATACAGGTTTGCGAAATGCGAATAACGCAATTTTGCGGATTTTATGGGTTATACAGGTTTTAGCGAGAGAATATAATCATACCGCAAAATACGGGTTTGTGAGTTTGGCAGACACACATGAGTTTTGAAATTTGGTCATAAAACACAATTTTATGAATTTTATGATATTACGGAAAAACACTCATTTTTTGTGGATTTGGCGGAAAACGTGATTTTGCGGATATTACGAGGTTTACATGTTTTTGTGGGTTTTATAGGTTTTGATGGAAAATGTGGTTTTATGGATTTTATTGAAAATACAGATTTGCGGGTTTGACACAAAATGCAATTTTGTAGGTTTGACAAAAACTACTTAATTTTAGAAATTTAGCCATAGAATATGATTTTATGGTGTTGGGGGAAAACATATTTTTTTGGTTTTGTTAAAAAAATATGGGTTTACAGTTTTGGCATGAAAATACGGTTTGATGGAAAATGCTATTTTTACATTTTCCGTTTTGGTACAACAACGTGATTTTACGATTTTGCGGGAAAATATGGCTTTTTATTTCGATAGGAAAAAAATGTTTTTGACAATATATGCCATTAATTTTCTAAAGATTCATTAAGGATAATTTAGTCTTATCATTAAACTGTTAACAAATATATTAAATTAAATTAAATTATATTAGTTTGCTAATAGATAATACCAATAAATCATATGAGATAGTACCAATAAAACATATTTGATACTAATAAAATTCAAATTAACTTACTTTTAAAATTATTTTAAAATCTTTCATAATATTTTAACATAACTACCACATATATATGGCATGAATAACTAAAATAATTATATATATTATAAGATAAATTAAATATATATTATATTATAATTAATTTTTTCTCTATATTATTAAAAGAAAAACTCTACATTAAAATTTTTAAAAATTATAATGGTATTTACAAAAATGTGACAATTTATAGTCAATAATGAATATATAATCATTATTTTTTTGTTACATATCTACATACTATGAAAACAAATTATATAAATAATTTAGTTTTTCTGGTTTGTTATTGATTTTTTTACAGGAAATTATGGGTTTGCGGATTTGACAAACACAATTTTGTAGATTTTACGGGTTTTATAAAATTTAGCAGAAAATATAGTTTTCTGAAAAAATACCGGTTTGACAACAAATGTGCTTTTGTAGATTTAGCAGAAACACATAATTTTTGAAATTTGGTCGTAAATCACGATTTTGCAAATTTTACGGGTTTATGGGAAAATACAGGTTTGCGAAATGCGAATAACGTAACTTTGCAGATTTTATGGGTTTTACAGGTTTTAGCGAGAAAATGTAGTCATACAGAAAAATGCGGGTTTGTGAGTTTGACAGAAACACATGAGTTTAAAAATTTGGTGATAAAACACAATTTTATGAATTTTACAATATTATGGAAAAACACTGATTTTTGTGGATTTGGTGGAAAACGTGATTTTGCGGATATTACGAGGTTTACATGTTTTTGCGGGTTTTATAGGTTTTGATGGAAAATGTAGTTTTATGGATTTTATTGAAAATACAGATTTGCGGGTTTGGCACAAAATGCAATTTTGTAGGTTTGAAAAAAACTACCTTATTTTAGAAATTTAGCCATAGAATACGATTTTATAGTGTTGGGGGAAAACATATTTTTTTTGGTTTTGTTAAAAAAATGTGGGTTTACAGTTTTGGCATGAAAATACGGTTTGATGGAAAATGTTATTTCTACAGTTTCTACCGGAATTTTCCGTTTTGGTACAACAACGTGATTTTATTATTTTGCGGGAAGATACGGCTTTTTATTTTTGATAGGAAAAAAAAATGGTTTTGACAATATATGCTATTAAATTTATAAAGATTCATTAAGGATAATTTAGTCTTATCGTTAAACTGTTAACAAATATATTAAATTAAATTAAATTATATTAGTTTGTTAACAGATAATACCAATAAATCATATCAGATAGTACCAATAAAACCTATTTGATACTAATAAAATTCAAGTTAACTTACTTTTAAAATTATTTTAAAATCTTTCATAATATCTTAACATAACTACCACATATATATGGTATGAATAACTAAAACAATTATATATATTATAAGATAAATTAAATATATATTATGTTATAATCAATTTCTTCTCTATAGTATTAAAAGAAAAACACTACATTAAAATTTTTAAAAATTATTATGGTATTTACAAAAATGTGACAATTTATAGTCAATAATGAATATATAATCATTATTTTTTTGTTACATATATATATACTATAAAAAAAAATTATGTAAATAATTTAGTTTTTCTAGTTTGTTAATGATTTTTTTTGCGGGAAATGGGTTTACGGATTTGACAAACACTTTTTTGTAGATTTTACGGGTTTTATAAATTTTAGCAGAAAATATAGTTTGCCGAAAAATGCCGGTTTGACAACAAATGTGCTTTTGTAGATTTAGCAGAAACACATAATTTTTGAAATTTGGTCGTAAATCACGATTTTGCAAATTTTACGGGTTTATGGGAAAATACAGGTTTGCGAAATGCGAATAACGCAATTTTGCGGATTTTATGGATTTTACAGGTTTTAGCGAGACAATGTAGTTATACAGAAAATACGGGTTTGTGAGTTTGGCAGAAACACATGAGTTTAGTAATTTGGTCATAAAACACAATTTTATGAATTTTATGATATTACAGAAAAACACTGATTTTTGTAGATTTGGCGGAAAACGTGATTTTGCAGATATTACGAGGTTTACATGTTTTTGCGGGTTTTATAGGTTTTGATGGAAAATGTAGTTTTATGGATTTTATTGAAAATGCAGATTTGCGGGTTTGACACAAAATGCAATTTTGCAGGTTTGACAAAAACTACTTAATTTTAGAAATTTAGCCATAGAATACGATTTTATGGTGTTGGGAGAAAACATATTTTTTGGTTTTGTTAAAAAAATGTGGATTTACAGTTTTGGCAGGAAAATACGGTTTGATGGAAAATGCTATTTTTACAGTTTCTACCGGAATTTTCTGTTTTGGTACAACGATGTGATTTTACGATTTTGCGGGAAAATGCGGCTTTTTCTTTCGATAGGAAAAAATAGTTTTGACAAAAAAACTTGATTTTGTGGTTTAAATAAAAAAATGTTTTTATTTGTTAATTTTTGAGATTCAAATGCTGCCTCAAATCTCTATTTTTAGCATTTTAAAGATCCAAATTTTGAGATATTATAAAATTTGTATTCAGATAAAATATTTATATATTGATTTAAAAATATTTAAAAGAATAATTTTTTGAGCATTTGCATACAAATAAGTATCTGGAGGCAAAAACAAACAAAGCTTAAGAATCTTAATTACAAACAAATAAAACCTCTCTTGCATTATAAAACATAATATTTTAAAATATTTGTTATAAAACTTAACAAAAAATCCACTAATCAAATATTTTTTTTTATAAAATCAAGCCTAAATAATATTAAGAACATAAAACCATACTGTTAAAATAGTTTATATAATCTAATAAAAAATTTCTGTTTGAGCCACAATTTTAGATTTAATAATATAAGCTAATTTGTTTTTGAATAAAAATTTACTATAAACCAATTTTTGCTATGATCCAAAAATATTTTATAAAAAAAATCTGCGTAAGTGCGTGGGTCCAAAATCTAGTAAAACAAATTAAACTAAAAGAAATGTCCATAGTTAATGTGTGGTGGCTATTGTATTATTAGGAGATTTGTGTGGTTGTTTAAATGTTTCATATTAAACTAAATTTTCCTTACTTATTCTTCTCTATTTTATTTCTTAGTTTTTCTTTTACTTGCGATGTAAGTAACCTATCTTCAACATCCAGTATATCTTTTCATTTTAATATTCTAGTGCACAAAAGTTTCCAGAATTCGATCGCAAGAATCAATCATGAAAAATGAACTAGCAAACGCCAAAAATAACAACCAAGAAGCACGATCCAAGTCTTCGTTGACACTCTATTGGGAAACCAAGACATTACTTTTCCATCAAGAAAGTCAATTAGCCCTCTAAAACGAGAGCCTTCAGAGTACAAACTAGCACTTGCAGAACCTAAATCCGAATGCCTAAAAACTCAATTTATCACACAACATCATCGTCATCAGACAACGATACAGGAGCTCTAGCAGCCAAAACCTCTGCCTTCTCCTTCTCCAGAAGAGCTTCAAGGTCTGAGCACTTCTGCTTCAAAACCTTTAACTTTTCCTCAATACATTGCATCCGAATCTCACCGGCTTTCTCTTTCCCCTTCTTTTCTTTTACTTCACCAAATTTATTCTCCAACCAATCCAACTTAAACCCTAATTTTGTCATGTATGCCAAATTAGTTTCTGCATCAGACAAATCATCCTCCGAGATTCTTTGAGGCGGTAGGCGCAGAGTCTCAGTCAAGCTGAGTAGGATATTCATGTATGCTGTCTTCAGAAGTGGGCTCTTTATACGAAACTTTGATGCAATCTCCGGATGTTTTTCAAACAAACGGTTTACCTATGAATGAAACACAAGATGTATAAAGTAAAGTAAAATCATATCTGCATCATGTATCTGTCAGGGAGCTGATGAATTTTTCATCTTTCTTAACGTTCTTACATGTGAAGGAAGAACTTGGAATCCATGGACATCTACTTTGTCAACAACTTGACGAACATCTATCTCTGCAACAATTTTGACTTCTTGATCCACCAGATATCCAGGGGTACTTACCGAGAGTGTAAAACAAAATTCAGGATTCTTGTGATCAAACCAATGCTGTGTTACTATAAAACCACAAAACAAAAAATTTCATCTCATAAGTTGAATAAACCCATTCATTCTTTGCAACTTGAAGTTTAAAAACTGATACTAACCAACCAACACAAACATAAGAATAATAAGATTATGAAACTTATACTTTCTTGGCCTTTTAAAAAGAAGATATCATAAAGTAGGGAGCTCAAAAATAATCACCATGTCGTCTGTAGATTTTTTCAGAAACCTGATTTAGTATAGTAAGGGAAAAATTTGCCTGCCTTCTCCATCCAGGAAGAAAATATTCACAATCAGCAACTTCCAAAGTCAAATTATTGAGACATTTCCTCTTGGGGTAGGCAATAAGACGCCTATCAACAAAAACGGAGGGAAAAATTAGAGAGAATATCACATACGTTCACCTAAATGGAAGAAAACATTAGAAAACAATTTATCTTCTTACCACTTGCATCCACCAATTACGAATGAATCAGAATATAATATCTCTGATTGTGAAGAGGATAAATTATTAATCACCCAAGTGAACTTCCTCTCAACTTGCTTCCCCATTGTTCTTGACACGAACACACCCAAGTTTTGTAATAATCAATACCAGAATCAAGCAGGCTTTGATCCTTGAAAGCTACAAATCTTGATGTCGACAAACAAGACCAAACATAAAGATTAAGATACCACTATATATGAAACAATTTTTTTAAACTAGCTTTCACATTTAAAAAGTATTTACCCCTCAGATTTGCTATCTAAAGAAAGAAACACAGCTTAGGCATCCAGGTTTGAAGCCGAGAATATGAATCGCTTTGGCTCCTCGTATATGGTCACCTGTGGTTATTTATTGTGAAACGTTGACCGACACAATACTCATGGACAAACACTGTCTATAAACGGTACATTTTCTAACAATGCCTTGTCCCTACCTAAACATACATGGTCCCGCCCTGCTTATGGAACTTTAAAGTGTAATCACGACGCTGCTTTCAATCCTGACACACAACAAGCTACTGCTGGATGGATTGTTCGCGGTAGCTACGGCACTGGTCTGTATTGGGGATCAGCAATATTGGGCGTTACAAATTCATGCCTTGAAGCAGAAAGAAAAGCCCTTTTGGCAGCTTTACAAAATGTCTGGAGCATGGGATATAAACAAGTTAGTTTTGAAAGAGATTGTCAAATTTTGGTAAATCTAATCAACAATGATGGTTCAGATATAAACATCTTCAACCTTCTTGATGATATTCGTCTCTGGATGTCTCGAATAGCTATCGATAATATCTTATTTACGAAACGGGAGTGTAATATTGCAGCACACTTATTAGCTCACAATGGCAAAAATAATAATTTCACGTCAGGCACTATTAATCCGTCTAGATGGCTAACGAACTCTATGTACCATGATTTTATCAATTCATGATAATATATATGTTTTTCGACAAAAAAAAAAAAAAAAAAAAATCTGGGAAAAGAAGGGTGAAATCCACGTGAGCAAAAGCTGGTTCAAACTGCCGTAGACGAAACAGTAGGCTTGTCCGGTAATCATTAGAGAAACTAGGGTTTTAACCCACCTTATTTTGTTTAAATTTTTTTTCTTTTGTTAAATTTTTTTTTATGATATTAATTTTTATTTTAATTATAATACTGATTATAACTGGTTATTTTAAATTTTATGGGTACTTCTATCAAAAGCTTGTAACATTATTTGATTTTTTTTAGTTAAACTCTTTTATGTTGATTTTTCAAAACTTTATTCTAAATATTAAGCTAATTTTATTTTATACGACTTTTTTCTTTGATAATTTACTTTTCTCTTGATATTAATTCTATTTTATTTTGACTCATAAATGTTTTGAATATTGATATTTTTAAAGACATAATTTCATTTTTTTGTTAATTTTTGTCCACTAAGCTATTTTTATATTGATTTCTTAAATAGTTAGTCAGATATCAAGTCATTTTCTTTTTAGACAATTTTTTTAATTTAACATATTTGTTTTTATTGATAACTTTTTTTAAAAAAGGGGTGTAACACGAGGACTTCCCAGAAGGTCATCCATCCTAGTACTACTCTTGTCCAATCACGCTAAACTGCGGAGTTCTGATAGGATTCAGTGCATTAGTACTGGCACGATAGAACCCTAATTAATTTTCATTTTTTTGGTTATATTAACATTTTGTAAAACATAATTTATCACTTTATTTGGTTGTTAATCAAATTTTATAATTTATCATTTTATTTTGTTGTTAATCAAAATTTTAATATTAATTTCTTAAATAACTAGCTTAATCTTTATTTTGTTTTTGTTAGTTAACTTTTTATATTATTATTTTTTATATTGATTTTGTTAAATAATTAGCATATATATTAAGTTAATTCTTTTAACATTTTCTCTTTGTTAATTTAACCTTTTTGGTATTGATTTTCAGTTTAATTGTATTCACATGTTGTAAAAACTAATTTTCATTTTATTTTTTGTTAGTTAAACTTTTTATATTTGATTTATTTAGTAATTAGAATAAATTATCAATTTTTTTGGCTAGTTTTGCTTTTTATATTGATTTTTTAAAATAGGGCCGATTTCACCATGTCTTAGAACGGTAGTTACGTGACGCCGAACCACCCTAGACACAGACACAAATTGCTAGTTCGGCCAACAATTTCCTAGCTTACTATTCCCGGACAGTTGGCGGACTTCCTGAATCACGTATGCGCCACCAACCCACCTATTCCTCTGGCACGCCGAACGGATAAGACAGAATAGGAAAGACTTATATAATAGGAGAGACACACTCAAGAGAGAGAGAGGGGCGGCAAAGGTGAGAGAACAAGAGAAGAGAGAGAACGAATATAGGAGAGAGATCTCCCTAGAGTTCGATCTAAGAAGGGAAAGATCCAACTCCATCCCAGACGAGCTAGGCACTGCCGAGCAGCGTAGTCTAAAGGAACCCTTCCCCATTCCCTGGAGACGACGTCAAACAGGATAAGTTCATTCTTAACTCGAAATCTTGCTTTTATACTTGCTAAACCCCTTCTTCTAGTTGTGGAACCCTTCTAAAACACTCATAAACAGACAGCTGCCGTGGTCCTTGGACGAGGCATAGTCACAGAAGCTGTAGGAAGTATAATCATCGTGGATTGCCAAGCAGTGAGTCGGAGGGCGATCCGCTCGGTTCCTCCATGCAGGTAAAATGGGATAAAGGGTGGGGCAGGCGGGGTTGGTCGCTATCAGGACCTTCTCCAGAGAATCTGGCGTGCATACCGACGGAGGCCAGTCAGAAGGCGAAGCCACCTCGGGCGATTGAGCCGCACTCTCGAGCTCTCCATCAGACCACGAAAAGAGGGCTCGTCACTCGCCGGAAGATGAACTCGCTGCCGACATCTCTATTTGAACGAGAAGAGAGATATGAGGCGAAAGAAAGATCTGAAAGAAGATCAGAAATCCGTGGTTGCTTCGAAAACTGAGAAAGACCACAAATACTTGGACTCAGCAGAATTTCTAGAGGAGGAAGAAAATGTCACGTCACTAAAAGAAAGCCAAATGTGAGGCGCATTCCCGTAATTATAAGATTCTTGAGCCTTGCGGCCGTAGAGACGTGCATTTAAAAAATATGGATATAGACGGTCCTTTGTGACAGAAAAAGTAACTGACGTCTTGTAGAAAACAAGGTATACTGTGCGACACGACATACCGCACCTTAAGCCATAGGAATCCGCCACATGGATCGCACCCATTTTTTGCTAGTATCCCGCCCATAATGGAATCTAAACAATGGCCATCAAGCAAGCCCGCTAGGAAATTCGGTAATGAATGATTGCAACAATATGAATCTCATGTCCCTACAGGAAAACCGTCGGCTGCACAGGGGCAGCGCAACCCTGAAGACGGGTTGCACGGAATTCGTGGACGCGGGACAAACGTGACCGCCTGGGCGCTTCAGCCCTCGAGGCGGGTTGTGTGGCGTCTCGCTCGTACGATGATATATTCTTTCCCATTCGCATATCATCAACATTCGGCCTTTGCCTATATTTGTACCCTCTGCGGACATCGTTTTATGGCTTACGTCTTTTCAGCATACTCTTTTGCAGACTTGCTCGTCCTCCGAGACACTATTTCTCTGGAAATTCAGGACTTCGGCAGTTCGATAAGATTCAATTCAGAGCAAATAAAACTATGAGCAATTGAATATAGTTAGTAATACGAAAGTGGATCATTAATTCTATAAAAGTTCCATTTATCTTTAATGGTGTTATAATTCACCTGGAACTGGCTAAATTCAAAAGGCAGAGAGTTCATGATGAATTGGACCAAGAATTGCTCATGCACTTCCATTTCCAAGGTCGTTAACTTTACTGTCAAGTTAGACATATACATCACATGATCATGGATTTGCTGAGACCAGTCAAACTTTCTTGTAGTTAACTCATTCATGAGACTTCCTACAATCGACTTGTCAGCCAAATCTGATTGTGAACATTCCTTAATTTTCTATATGAATCCCCTTCCTTTCTCTGTCACATACATGACTTAATACTTTCTGCCATCATTATCTTCATGAGGTTTAAACTCAGTCTATTAGATTACTCTCATTTCTCATACCCAGACTTATCAGATTCAGAGCTTTCTGCTGTAATGGCTGAAGCTCCTTATTAGTTAGTATTGTAAAGTCCAATGCCATTACACCCAATGTAAACCAGATCTATTTTGACCATTTCGCAACATTAAGCCCATTGAATTTCATGACAAAGTTCACACATGCAAACAAATTTGATAAAGCTGTAAACATTAATACATACTTACTAAGCAGTGTTTTCAGACTTTAATACAAATTTAAAAACCGTACTAAAACTCTAAAGCATAAATTTAAGCAACCTTTGGGCAATACTTAAATTCAAACACTTTTATTGATACTAAAAATATATGTACATATATACCTATATGATTAATCTAATCACACACAAATCAAATAGCATACTATCTTTGGGTATACATACTATTGACTATTGTACAAAAAATGATTAATCCTTTTTCGTATTACTAACTATATTCAATGATCCACTTTTGAGTGATCTACTAGCATCTCTATATACTTTTGAGTGATCTACTAGCATCTCTATACGAAAGTTTTGATTCTATAAAAGCAATTGATCAATCAAAATTTTACTGTTATTTATAGTATCTCTATAAGCAATTGATCAATCAAAACTTTACTGTTATTTATAGTATCTTTATAATTATGATCAATTAATAAACTTTTATTAATTTTAATATTTATATGTAAATAACAAGTCCAATTTGATAACTAACATGTTATATACAAAATAAACATTAAAATCTTAATTAGTAAAATGATCTCACATTACTTTAATATTTCATGAGATCAATCACTCATTAACAAAATGCACAACGGAAGCATTTCAAAATAAACCAGACAATAAACCAAGCTAACCAAAAACTTACGGTTTAAACATCTCTATTAACCATCATTTAACGGCAGCATCCCTTTGACTCATGCGTCAATCATTTACGTATGTGTTTATACATTCAAACAGTTACTTA